GAGTAGTGTGTAGTGGGTAGTGAGTAGGGAGTAGTGAGTAGGGAGTAGGGAGTAGGGAGTAGTGAGTAGTGCGTCGTGGGTAGTGAGTCGTGGGTAGTCAGTAGTGAGTCGTGAGTAGTGAGTAGTGAGCAGTGAGTAGTGAGTAGCGAGTAGTAAATTGTAGGTAGTAGTGCTTAATGAGTAGTGAGTGCTGTTTAGGGCTAGGGTTTGAGTTCGAGGTTAGGGTTAGGGGTTAGGGTACGGGTGAGGATTAGTGTTAGGGGTGGTAGGGGTCGGGTTCCGGAGACCGGGGGCGCCGTGGCGAAAGGGGGGGGGGTCGGACCCCTCCCCCCTTTGAAAGGGGGGGAGGGGGGGTGGGCGTTCCCGACGACGGACCGGGAAGGGGGGGGGCGTCCCCGACGACGGATCGGGAAATGGGGGGAGGGGGGGGGGGGGGGCTTTCTCCGTCGACGGATCGGGGAAAAGGGGGAGGGGGGTCCCAACCCCCCCCCCCCTGGGGCCATCCAGCGGCGCGCCCTCAATGATCGTTCAGGCCCCTTCTGATGTGCGACGCCACCGTACGAGCTGCGCCATTGGGGCCTGCGGTGGAGCTCCCTGTAGGGGCACGAAACATGTGAGGGGTGTGTCGAAGTGGGTGCGATGCCGCCATGCGAACTGCGCCACTGGGGCCTTCGGTGGAGCTCCTTGTGACGCCCCGAAACGTGTGAGGGGCGTGCCGGAATAGGAGCGACGCCGCCATGCGGACTTCCATTGGGGCCTTCGGTGGAGCTCCCTGTTGGGCACGAAGCGTGTGAGGGAGGAGGGGGAGGAGAGGAGTGGAGGAGAGGAGGATAGGAAGCTGGGCGCTGGTTGGGAGTATTAGCTGTTCAACGAAATGTATGCCAGATGTTTTGAAGTGTTGCGCGCGCACTTCCTCATCACCCTCATCAGTGCCATCGCATCACCTCCGGCATCGTCATTGTCACTCGCCGCCATTGCCGCCATCATCATCGTCATCGACGTTAGCAGCATCGGCGCTGTCACTGGGCTTGTCGTCGTCATCGTCTTTTCCGCCACTACCACCGCTTTGATCGCCATCGTTGCCGCCGTTATGGACGTCATCATTGTGCCGCGCCCGCCCGAGCCACCGACTCGCACTTAAACGCCCGCGCGCCCACGTTGCCCTGGAGACGTGCCTGGAAGCTCCGACTGGTGAGCGCCAGGAGTCCCCATGGGTTGTGACGAACAAGGTGCGGGTAAGAATGTGTTTTTTGAGCGGGCACTGGTGTTGCCATCCCATTAGTGGCAATAGCAATTACACCGCGTAGCCTTCAACAAGATCTACGCACCAAGCACAATATCAATGCATCGAGTGGTCTCACGATCCAGCGATGACCGTCTCCTCATCTAGTATTGGTAGGAACCACGATTTCCCTTTTCTCTATTTCTGTGTATATATGTGTGTCGGTGTACACTGACACATACATACACATATCGTTGTATATACATATCTGTATATATGTATGCGGCGTCCGCGGGACAGCCACACGACAACCACGGGACAACCACGGGACAATCACGGGACAACCATTTCACAACCACAGTACCATTGCGGAACACCCCCAAACACAACATGGACAGGTACGCGACAATTCGGTCGCCCATACGCACGTAACGTACTACACGAAACGACATCGAGATCGGTTCCTTGGTTGGAAGACTCCGCTTGAATTCTGTGCCCCCCCCCATTTCCGACAAGTTCTTACCTATAGGACAACCCTTCGGGTGACAAAGATGATTTTAGGGGGGCAGCGTTCGGTTTGTGATGGGCGCCGGGTGGGGTTGGCAATGTGTCCATTCCGTGGTCTTGCTATCGACCGATCGATATCATTGCCCATCGGTCGTTCTCACTACCTATTGATATCGCGGACGATCGATATCACTCACAAAATATTTACCGAACAGGCCATTCATCGGTCTCATTGTTATCTCCTCTTCACCCGTTCAGCATACATGTCAACAGCTATGTGGCTATCCACGATACACACACATGTATACATGTATATTTGTACGGTACATATATATATATATACACATGTGTATATATATATATGTGTGTATGTGTATGTGTACCGGGATATCACCATCAGCGTATTGATGCTTTGTTCAATCGAACTCTGGATGTACCGATTTGACAGCCACGGGGCAACCACAGGAGTACCCCAGAAGAAGCACGGGACAACTACGCGACAACCACCGGGACAACCACTAAAGAACCACGGGACAACCGTTTGACAACCGCGGCCCAGCCACGGGACAACAACAGGACGACTATGGAACACCGTCGGGACAACCACGGGAGAAACACGGGACAACCGCGGGACAACCACGTGGCAGCCGAGGAGCAACCGCGAAACAACCACGGGACATTCATAAGACAATTACGAGACAACCACAAGACAACCACGGGACAACCATAGAGCAACCACGGGCAGCCATCGGGACCACCATAAGGACAACCATTGGGAGAACCACCATAACATCAATCAGAACAACCATCGGGACAAGTATCTAGATGACAATTGGGACAAATGTTAGGACATCCATCCATCCATTCATCGGGACAGTCATCGGAACAGCCACCGGATCAACCATTCGAACAGCAATCGGGACAATTATCTAGACAATTATCGGGGCAGTTGTTGGAACATCCATCCGTTCATCGTGACAGTCATCGGAACATTCATCGGTACAATCATCAGACAAAACATAGGGTCATCAGCACGGTCAACAGTCTGATCAACCATCCGGGCAGCCATCAGGGGAACCATCGGATCAATCATAGGGTCGTCCAGCAGGACAATCATCGGGCCAACTAGCAGAACAACCATCGGGGCATCTGCGGGACATCCGTGGGACAACCCCGCGCACGCCCTGGCGGGCGGGGAGCCGATTTATTGTTCGCGCGACTTGGGCCTAGCTAGCGCAAGAACCCGCAAACACGACGCGAAACGCAGCGGACATCGAGTTCCCACCATCGGAACAACTATCGGGATAACCATCGGTGGCACCCACGGGCGCAACCGTTAGGACAACCATTCGGGGCACGCATCGAATGAACCATCGGGCAACCATCGCGAAAACCATCAGGACATCGAGCTTCCATGGAGCTGATTTAGGTCGTCTTGAGGCCATCCTCGGGCCATCCTCCGGCTCTATCAGGCTGCTTTCTTGACCGTCTGGGGGGCCTCTTGGGGGGATTCTCTTGGGCCCCTCCAGGGGCTTCCTTGGACCGGCTTGGGGCTCTCTTGGGGTCACCCTGGCCGTCTAGAGTCTGGGGGCCATCTTGGGGATCGCAGTCGCCCTTCTGAGACTTGGAAGACCGAAGTGGCCCAATCTTCGACCGAAGCGTTGGGAAAGCGAAAAGCAGTGAACAACAGTAGGGGGATCCATGTCGAAGCAGACAAGCACGAGAAGGTGGAGGAGGACAGGAGGAGGAGGGGGATGATGATGATGATGAGGAGGAGGGGGAGGAAGAACAAGAGGAGGAAGAGGAGGAGTAGGACCCGTGTAAACCCAAGAGTCACCAACGATGTTGGAATAAACCCTCCCCCCAAGCTCCCTCTTCATAGGCCTCTACAACGGTTCACTTCCACAGAGGGATTTGCCCCGTGGGAAGACAACCGTATGAACTCTCTGAAGCATGCCAAAGCAGTATTCTCGGTATTCTAACGCCACGGATGAATCAGATTGTTGCGTCTTGACGATCCTGAATCGCGCCAGAACGCCATTCTTGGGGCTTCAACTCCGCAAATCATCGTAACAGCTGCGCCCTCAAAGCCGTGAATCCTTCCAAAACACCACTTCTGGTACGTCGATCATGGGAATCCGTGAAGCTCTTGAAATTTTGTGTCAAGACTGTGCGCGGCGCTAAGGCGAGAGCCTCATGTTGAAAAGGATACGCCCTCCATTCGTGAAACTCATTGCACGTTGTGTAACCGAATGTGCGCGGCGCTAAGGCGAGAGCCACATTTCGAACAAGAAACCGCCCTCCATTTGTGAAACTCTTGCAAGTTGTGAAAACGAATGTGCGCGGCGCTAAGGCGAGAGCCACATGTTGAAAAGGAACCGCCCTCTATCCGTGATGCCCGTACACATTGTGAAAACGAATGTGCGCGGCGCTAAGGCGAGAGCCACATTTTGAAAAAGAAACCGCCCTCCATGTGTGAAACTCTTGCAGGCTGTGAAAATGTGCGCGGCGCGTAGGCGAGAGTCTCATGTTGAAAAGGAACCGCCTTCCATCCGTGAACTTCTTGCAAGTTGTGAAAACGAATGTGCGCGGCGCTAAGGCGAGAGTCTCATGTTGAAAAGAGACCTGGAACTCTTGCAAGTTGTGTAAACGAGTGTGCGCGGCGCTGAGGCGAGAGCCACATTTCGAAAAAGAACCCCCTCCCATGTGTGAAACTCTTGCAAGTTGTGAAAAAGAATGCGCGCGGCGCTAAGGCGAGAGCCTCATTTTGAAATGGAACCGCCCTCCATCCGTGAAGCTCTTGCGATTTTTGTTCGAAAAAATCAAGTGTGCGCGGTGCTAAGGCGAGAGCCACATTTTGAACACCACCCGCCCTCAATCCGTCAAGCTCTTGCACAGTTTGAACACGAATATGCGCGTCGCTAAGGCGATAGCCGCATTTCAAAAACGACCCGCCCTCCATCTGTGAAACGGTTGCAATTTTTTAAGATTCAGAAGCATACATGGTGAGGAAGTCTCAGGCGAAACGCCCGGCCCGCCCTAAAAATTGGCCTCGGGTTGCGACAAGGAGAAGTTATCCATAAGGAGAAGGAATGTAGGAGGAGGAGGAGGAGGAGCGAAAGAGGAAGGGGGAGGAGGGGGGCGGAAGTGGAGGACGGGGGTGGTGCAGAAGAGATGGGGAGGGGAAATGGGGGAGGAGGAGGAGGAGGAGGAGGAGGAGGAGGAGGAGGAGGAGGAGGAGGAGGAGGAGGAGGAGAAGAAGGAGCGGGAGGACGTGCTGAAGCTGCTCCTCGAGGCGGGGGCGGACCCGAACATCAAGGGCGTCAAGGCCTCCAGCGGCCCGTGCGCCACGCGCCGGCCGGGCGCGCGGCAGGTCCCGTGCGGCGCCCAGACCTCCACCGCATGGGGCCATTCGGTGCGTGGTTTCGTTTGCTTCGTTTTCGGCCTCTGGGGGCTCTCGCCAGGCCCCATAACATTCAGGCGATCGCAGCGATGGATCAAGGGGGCGCGGATCAGCGACGGGTCCTGGTTCCGTCGGAGGTCGCGGATGTCCGCCGCCGAGCGAGGCGGCACCGGCTACATTCTGGGGAGGGCACCTCCCCTCATCCATGGATTTGGCGACCGCGCGCCAAATCCATGGATCGCTAATCCATGTTTGCGCGCCCCCGAATTTTTGCAGTGTCTGGCCGCAGATGTGGTAGAGTGGTAAACTCTCGTCCCAGGGCAAGAAATTCTGCGGTATTTCAAGATGTTCTTGGTAGGGTTTCTTGCCGCCGCGTCCCCATGGTTCATGAGCCCCGGAAGCGGCAGGGCCGTTTTTTTCACCGTTTCCGAAAAAGTGTCCCTTGAAAATGGAAACGGCAAAACAACGGCGACCGGAAACGGCCGCAAAAACGGCTCCAGGATTGGAACCGGAGCGGGAGCCCGTGGCAAAAACGGCGACGGGACCGGTCACAAAAATGGCGACGGATCCGGCAAGCGCGTCCCCACGGCTCGTGGGCCAAGAGGAGACAGCCGCAATTGCTGGGCTGACCCCGGCCCACCAAGGCCGAGCCCGACCCAAGGCCGACCCTGCCCCGACCCAGCCGCCAACGGCGCCCTCCCAGGGCCGACGCCGATCCGCCAGCTGTGATTCAGGAGGGGCAGAAGCACACTGACACCATGAGGCGTCGATTACCCCGAAAACATAGGAAAATATTGGAAGTGGGGGGGAAGACAAAACCCCTGAACATATGGGAAAATGATTACGGGGAGTCCTGTACTTTGTGCGCGTGTATTTATCTGTGTGTCTTTGGGCCCCTTGAGTGATGACCTGCGCGCGGCACTCGAAATCGGGCGCCCGTTGCAGGTCATCACCGCGGGGGGGATTCTGGGTTGGGCGTGGGGGATCCCGGGAGCGGCTCCCACAGCCCAGCGCTTGCGGTGGTCCCGTCTTCGATTCTGCACACCTCAGACGTGCCATGGCATTCGGAAGAAACGCGCCATAAACGGAAGATTTTGGCGCTCCGTGCGGGTTTCTTGGATCCGCGATGGGCCCAGCCGGTGGCGCCTCCGGCGCCGCCCCTGGCGCGCGGAGCGCTCCAGGAAGGGGTCCCAGCGCGGATCCAAGAAATCCGCGCGGCGCGCCAGGCTTGTTTTTCCCCATATCCTAAGATGGGGTTCTTGTTATTACTTGGACGCCTCCTACTCCTTCTTCTTCTCCTCCTCCCCTCTTCTCGTCTCCTCCTACTTAGACTCACTCATACTCAGATTCACTCATACACAGACTTACTCATACACAGACTTACTCATACACAGACTCACTCATACTCAGACCTGATCACATTAACTTACTCATACTCAGACCTACTCATACCCAGACCTACTCATACTCAGACTTACTCATACTCAGACTTCCTCCTTCTCCTCCTCCTTTTACTCAGAGTTCCTCATACACAGACTTACTCATACTCAGAATTACTCATACTCAGACCTTCTCATTGTCTGACTTATTCGATAAACAGCAGATTGCGAGGATGTCTCAGGCGGGGCGCTGGTTTCAGCACCCCTAAGGGGAGCCGCCGAGGGGTGTTGCACGGTCCCGTTCGCGGCCGTTTTGTGGGGATGTCTCAGGCGGTTTGCCTGTTTGTCTTGCCAACATCCTTCGCTTTCGGAGCAGATTTGGAGGATGTCTCGAGCGAGGCGCTCATTTTCACCCCCCAGGTGGGCCAGATTTTGAGGATGTCTCGATCGGTTTGCTTGTTTTGGTGGCCAGGCTCGTGGCCCTAAGGGGAGCCGCCGAGGGGTGTTGCACGGTCCCGTTCGCGGCCGTTTTGTGGGGATGTCTCAGGCGGTTTGCCTGTTTGTCTTGCCAACATCCTTCGCTTTCGGAGCAGATTTGGAGGATGTCTCGAGCGAGGCGCTCATTTTCACCCCCCAGGTGGGCCAGATTTTGAGGATGTCTCGATCGGTTTGCTTGTTTTGGTGGCCAGGCTCGTGGCCCTAAGGGGAGCCGCCGAGGGGTGTTGCACGGTCCCGTTCGCGGCCGTTTTGTGGGGATGTCTCAGGCGGTTTGCCTGTTTGTCTTGCCAACATCCTTCGCTTTCGGAGCAGATTTGGAGGATGTCTCGAGCGAGGCGCTCATTTTCACCCCCCAGGTGGGCCAGATTTTGAGGATGTCTCGATCGGTTTGCTTGTTTTGGTGGCCAGGCTCGTGGCCCTAAGGGGAGCCGCCAGGGGTGGTTGCACGGGCTCGTTCGCGGCCATTTTGTGGGGATGTCTCAGGCGGTTTGCTTGTTTCTGTGCCCAACATCCTTCGCTTTCGGAGCAGATTTGGAGGATGTCTCGAGCGAGGCGCTCATTTTCACCCCCCAGGTGGGCCAGACTTTGAGGATGTCTCGATCGGTTTGCTTGTTTTGGTGGCCAGGCTCGTGGCCCTAAGGGGAGCCGCCAGGGGTGGTTGCACGGGCTCGTTCGCGGCCATTTTGTGGGGATGTCTCAGGCGGTTTGCTTGTTTCTGGGCCCAAAATCCTTCGCTTTCGGAGCAGATTTGGAGGATGTCTCGAGCGAGGCGCTAATTTTCACCCCCCAGGTGGGCCAGACTCCAGGAGGCCCCAGGAGACCACATGAGGTACCAGGAGGCATCAGGAGGCCACAGAAAGACTCAAGAGGCCACAGCATGTCCCAAGAGGCTCCAGGAGGCCCCAGGAAGCTCCAGAAGGCCTCAGGAAACCACAGGAGGCCCCAGGAGGCAACATGAAGCGCCAGGAGGCCTCGGAAGGCAACAGGAGGCCCCGAGAGGCCCCAGGAGCAGGATGCCTCAGAAGGCAACAGGAGTGGCTCCAATCCCATATGTTTTACGTATGCTCCTATCGATTGGGCCTCACCTGGAGCACGATTCTTTGATGTTCTACGTATGTTTCTATAGATGGTCCTTCTCTTGTGTACACAATCCTAAATGTTTTACTCATGTTCCTATATATTGGGCCTCTCCTGGGGCACGAGTCCTTGGTGTTTTACGCGTGTTCCTATAGATTGCCCTTCTCCTGTGGCTCTAATCCGCAATGTTTTATGTACGTCTGTTGCTATAGATTGCGCCTCTCCTGGGGCACGAAACCTTCCTAGGAGGTCCCAGGAGGTCCCAAGAGGCTCCTGGAGACCCCAGGAAGCCCCAGTAGGTTTCAGGAGGCCCCAGGAGGCCCCAGGCTCATGCACAGAGACGCGCTCGTACTACTGAGGCTCATTCACACTCCAATTCATTCGCAGTTAGATTGATGTCCAGACCGTCACAACTGAAGCCTGTTAATATTCGAAAGCTCTTGCGCCTAGACATTCACGGCGGACAGGTCCATGCGAGTAGATGCACATATGGGGAGCTCCACGCAGTGAATAATTGTTATTGTGTTTTGCGCCAGCCCGCCGCAGCCCCAGCCCGCCGCCGAGGAGGAGCGCCCTGGGCCAGCTGCGGGCGCGCCCGCGCTGGCACAGAACGCGCAGTTTGCTGCGGCAGCGGACGCCCCCGCGCCGCTGCGCGAGGCCGCCGAGGAGGCGGGCGCGGGGCGCGGCTGTTGGGAGAGAAAGATTGGCGAGGCAGCCGCAGAGTGGGTGAGCAGAGTCAACAAACTCTCGCCGAAGGTGAAGCATGAACCCGCCTCGGAGGGAGAGGAGGAGGCGGAGAGGAGTAAGGGGGCGTCGTCGGCGGGGGGGCTTCAGCTCAAACTCGAGCTGCGCCCGCGCCCCCCGCCGCTGGTCATCGTCCACGAGGACCAGCAGAGGCGCGCGCAGCTGACACTAAAGCAATCCATCGGCCTGGCGGGCAGCACGGCGGCCGAGAGCGACGGCGACGAGCGGCGCTTCATCGCGCGCGCCCCGAAGCCCGCCCCGCAGCCCATCGACCCCGAGGCCGACGCGCTGATCGAGCGGGCCGTCGACGCCCAGGTCCGCGTCGACGACAAGCGCAAGGCCGCCCCAGGCGACGGCGGCGAGGCCAAGAAGCGCAGGGTCGCCGAGCCAGCGGAGGAGCGCTTCCCGATCAGCTCCGCGGACAAAGAGGCGATCTGGAGTTACGCTGCCGTCCAGCGCATGAAGGACAAGATCCCGCTGTCCGAGTGGGAGATGACGCGGCTCGTGCACGAGTACCGCCGCACCAACGGCGCGCCCGCCGCGCCGCCCAAGAAGCCCGAGCGCGAGCGGATCGTGGCCATGGGCATCGTGGCCATGGGCATCGCGAGCGGATCGTGGCCAGGTGAGGAACTTCTTTCGCCAGTTCCTCAAGAACCTCGAAGCTCCTCTGGACTAGCGGATGCCCCTCCGGATCGTGGCCGCGAAAGCCGGCGCCAGCATTGAGGTCGGCCTGGGCCTCGCTCTTGGGCGCTCTGGCCAAGGCGAGGGGCGCCTGGCAATGGTCTGACCATTGGGGCGAAGCCAAGGCCGACTGCACTGCTGGCGTCGGCCTTCTCGGCGCCAAGAGGAACGGCCCGCCGACTGCAGGCTGGCGGCCGCAGCGCTGCCGCTGCCCAGCGCCCCGCTGCCTTCGACGTGGGCTAGACTGGGTAGGATCGCTGCCGCGAAAGCCGACGCCGGCATGTCGGCCCGGGCCTCGCTCTGCGGCGCCCTGGCCAAGGCGAGGAGCGCCCGGCAATGGCCTGACCATTGGGGCGAGGCCAAGGCCGACTGCACTGCTGGCGTCGGCCTTCTCGGCGCCGAGAGGAGCGGCCCGCGGTTTGCAGCGTGGCTGGCGACGGCGCCGGCGGCCGCGCGCGTGGCCGCGCTGACCTGCGCCTCTAGCAATGGCGCTAAAAGCGGTTGCGTAAAGCTCGGCGAAAGCTCGGCGGAATCTCGGCGGAAGCTCGGTGGAATCGGCGGCGGAAGATAGGCGGAAGCTCGGTCTGCCCTGCGGATGCCACAGGAAGCCCCAGAAGGCCCCAGGAAGCCTCAGGAAGCAGCAGGAAGCCCCAGGATATTCCAGGAGGCCACAGGAAGCCCCAGGAGGCCCCAGGACGCCACAGGAGGCCCCAGTGTTCGCGTCCAAATGCGGCGTTGTGACGCCGTCCAAGGGCGCGTGGGCGCTGCGGGATCGGCCACGGCGGGGTCCGGCCCCCGCCGCGGCAACCCCCCGCCGCGGCACGAACCCGCCGCGGCCCGAACCCGCCGTGGCCGTGCCCGCCGCGTTTTTTGTTTTATCTGGCCGAAGTTTATGTTCTTGCGTTTTTGCTCTTCCTCTAGGTATGACGTTTTCAATGCGGGGCTCCCGGGAGTCCCGACCCTCTCCCCAGGGCCTGCGTTTGCATCCCGAGTCGTGTCTGCGACGGCTCCGAGGCCCAGCGAGAGGCCACCCCCCAGAGGCTGAGCATGGCCAGCAATGCTCCGCTGGAAATTCGTTGATTGGACGCGAGCACGTCTGGGACTTCGTGGGCCCTGGAAACGACAGGGCCGTTTTCGTACCGGTTCCGTTTTGCATTGTTTGTTGCCGGTTCCGACGCCGTTTTTTTACCGGTTCCGTCGCCGTTCTTTTACGGGTTTCCCGCTCCCGTTCCAATCCTGGAGCCGTTTTTGTTGCCGTTCCTCGTCGCCGTTGTTTTGTCGTTTCCACTTTCAAGGGGCATTTTTTCGGAAACGGTGAAAAAAACAGCCCTGCCGTTTCCGGGGCCCACTGAGCTCTGGGACTGCGTTGCTCCCCCTCACCTCGCAGCCCCAGAGGTTGACACCACCACCAATATCGGCGGTGTGCCTCCACCGAGGGAAGAAGATCCCGATCTCGGCGAGGGTGGTCATATTCAGACTTTCAAGGTGACCGCGGCACTACCACCAACGCCGAGATGTGGTATCAGCTTACTCGTGCGGAGGCAACCCAGCATCCTGGTGCTGGTGCCCACTTCCGGGCCTCTACCCCCCCCACGGGCCCCCCCTCCGAAAAGGGCCCCCCCTCCGTATCCTGGTGTTGGTGCCCACTTCCAGGCCTCTACCCCCCCCGGGCCCCCCCTCCGAGAAGGGCCCCCCCCCTCGGTGCGCCGCGCGAGTCCAGCCAGTGGGACGGCGCCTTCACGCTCACGGAGGCGGACACCGCCCTCGTCGTCGCGTGCAAGGCCCTGCTGCCGCCGCCCGGCGGCGGCCCCGCTGCCGCAGGCCGGGGCCCCACGTACGCCAGGGCGCTGCCAATCTGGGCTGCAGAGAGATCCGGGGAGCGGAGTATATATATATACATATATATATATATATATATATATATATATATATATATATAATATATATATATTATATATATAATGTGCATATATATTCTCATACGCACGTTTCCGAGGGAGTAGAGCTCAGAGGCGATTAGTGCGCACGCGTCCGCGATTGTTCTGGGCGTTTCGCTCGGGACATCCTCGAAATTCGGAAAATCGGTGGCACCCCTCACGCAGATCGCGACGTCAGGGTCCAAAAACACATGGGAAATTCAACATTTTAACATAAAGCCTTCAAAAACACATGGTAATTTCAATAATTGTGACCCCGATTCTCCGTGAATGGCGGTTTCGCTTGAAAAATCATTCCAAAATCAAGCCCCAGACCCCGCCTCGGAGCCTCCTGGGGGCCTCCTGGAACCTCCTGGGGCCTCCTGGGCCTTCTGAACCTTCTGGCACCCCAGACCCCGCCTCGGAGCCTCCTGGGGGTGCTCCTGGGGCCTCCTGCGGCCTCCTGGAGCCTCTTGGGGCCTCCTGAAGCCTCCTGGGGTCTCCTGGGGCCTCCTGAGGCCGCCTGGGGCCTCCTGGGGCCTCCTGGGGCTTCAGACTACATGCACACAGAGACACACACAAAGCACGCCCAACACATCACACGCTAGAGAAACATAACACACACACACACACACACACACAACACCTACAACACACAAAAAACACGCACCACACGAAGCATACATCACAAACACACACACACACACACACACACACGCACAACACTCACAATCCTGGGGCCTCCTGGAGCCTCTTCTGGTATCCAAGTCGGGCCTCCTAAGGCTTCCTGGGGGCCCTGGTACACACATCGCAAGGTGTGGCAACCCCACTTGCGCTCGAGTGCGACTTCGATGTTGCATTTCACTCCTGCTTCAAACGCCCCTTCAGTTTTTTGTATGAGCCTGGGCACACACGTGCATATATATGTATATGTGTATATATATATATATATATATATATATATATAGACAGCCACTGCCCGAGGCCTGGCCCACGCTGGGGCCCGGGAGCGGCGCAGATGCATCCCTGGCCAGGCCAGGACGGCGTAGACATCGCTTCTCGGCCCAGGGCGGGCCCGGCCTGGGCAGGGGAGATGTCCAGGTCCCGTCGCCCCACGAGAGTCCACCTGGAGAGAGCGAAGAACGGAGGGTGTTTCGACCCAGGGTTCGGCCACATAGGCGCTTCCACAAAGGCAGGGGCGGCGGTGATTCGCCGTAGGCGTCTTTTTGATCCGCCGCCCCCCGTGAATTCATCACAGGAGAGCCCGGCGTGCTAGACCTCGTACGTTCTGGCGTTGGTTCTTCTCCAGAAGGTCTCTCCCCTGGGGCTTCGGCCCGTCCCGCCAGCCACCCAGAAAGCCGCCGAACATCTAGCTGCCAATGCCTTTCCCGCTCCAAGATGGCCCAAGATGGCCTCCAAGACGGCTTCGATCGCCCGAGATGGCCGCTAAGTTCGCCCAAGATGGTCCAAGATGGCCTCCAAGACGGCCCGAGAGGGTCCAAGATACTTCAAGACAGCCCACGAAGTCTCCAAGACGGCCCAAGAGGTGCCCAAGAGGCTTCCAAGACGGCTCAAGAAGTCCCCGAGAGGTCCTTCAGGAGGGCCCGAAGAGGCTAAAATCATTGATGCGTCTTGGGTGTTTGAAGGACTTTTGTCTGTGTTCCTTTTCGGCCTTCCGACGGCCCAAGACGGCCCAAGAGGCCCCCAATATCGCCCCCAGAGCGCCCAAGAGGCCTCCAAGATGGCCTCAGGACGGCCCAAGATGCCCCACGACGGTCTCAAGAGGGTTCCAAGACGGCCCAAGAGGCCTCCAAGACGCCCCAGATGGCCTGCCTCCAGGACGGCCCAGAAACGCCCCAAGACGGTCCCAAAACACTCCAGAGAGGCTCCCAAGACGGCCGACGGCGTCAGAAGGGCCAGAAACACCCCAAGACGGTCGAAGAGGCCCCAAGAAGCCCCCAAGAGCCTCAAGGAGGCTTCCGAGATGCCTCCAAAAGACCCCCAGGAAGCTTCAGGAGGCTCCAAGAATGATCCAAGAGGCTCCCAAAAGGTCTCTTCTTTCTTTTTCTTCTTCTTCTTCTTCTTCTTCCTCCTCCTCCTCATCCTCTCCCTTTTTCCTCTCTCGTCTTCCTCTTCCTCCTCCACGCGTTTCCCGAAGGAACAACTGGCCCGATAACTTGGCCAAGCTATAGCCCAGCTGTGGGCCTCACAGGCGCTTCCAGAAAGGCGGGGGGCGGCGGTCATTCGCCGTAGGCGTCTTCGATCCGCCGTGGCCGAGGCGCGCGCAGCAGCCAGGAGCGGGGCACCAGCGAGGCGTCCTGGCCTGCCCCGCGACCCAGAGCAGGGCCTCGGGACTCTGCCGGTGTCCCCAGCGCCGCGCTCGTGGGGGCCGGTGGCTCCACAAGTGGGTCCTGAGGGAGGGGGCCCCGGGGATGGGAAGAAGGCCACAGGGTGGCTGTGCATCGGTCGAGGCACCCCGCCCTCGGGACCCCAGCCCTCGGGAGGAGGAGGAGGAGGAGGAGGAGGAGGAGGAGGAGGAGGAGGAGGAGGAGCCCATCGTTGGACCACCGAGGGGGGGAGGGGAGGCGCTCGGCGGGGGGCCGTATGGCCGAGGCGCGCACGCGGCGCTCCGACGAGCCGGTGCTCTCGCGCTCCGGGCGCCTCGCCTCGATCTCGGCCTCCGGTGGCGCGGCGTCGGGCCCCCAGGTTGAAGTCGGGCGTGTCCCTCTACAGGGGGGGTATTCAACCATAGTCAAACAATAGTCTGGGGACCACTTTTTGAAGGGGTATTTTTCATTTTGGATTATTTGGGGGGTATTTTGACAATTTTGGCGTATTGGAGTATTTTGGAGGATCTTTTGACCATGTTGGGGGTATTTTGAGGATCTTTTGGCAATTTTGGAGTATTTTGGTGGGATCTGTTTTATTTTTCGTTCAAAATTCGCCTGTGGGGGGACACGCCCGACTTCACCCCAGGGCCTTCGAGAACGCATCCGGGCCGGAAGTTGGGACCCAGGGTCGTGAGCTCTGGGGCCGCGCAGTGGACAGCAGACGCAGATCGCGGGGTCTCTTGGCGTGCGGCGCCCAGGAAGGATGCGGCGGCGAGGCGTGCCTCCTGGCCCCGTCTGCGGGTTTGCCAGGGCATGTCCTCGGGCCCTGCTCTTGCTCTGTTCTCCGGACGGCCCCACCGAGCGCCCGCATTTGCAGGGGTTCCCACGCGTCCTCGCCATTCGTTGGCATTCTGTCGGGCGTGTCCCCCTACAGGGGGATTCTCGACGAACAATAAAAAATACACCCAAAATGCCCCCCCAAAAGGTAAACCATCTTCAAAAAATAGTCCCCTGACGATGTTTGGAGCATTGTTTGATTGATTTGGAAGTACTTTTTATTTAATCGCTTCGCTCATTCCGCCGGCCCACATTGTATCGCTGGTGCTATATGTTTGTGTGTTCGTGGCGAGCGAGAAGAAGTTGGAGGAGGGGGAGGAGGAGGAGGATGAATAGGGGAGGATGAGGACGAGGAGGCGGTCTCCCGACGGCTTCTTGGAAGTATTTTTTGTTTTTTCCCGAAAACCCCCCTGTGGGGGGACAGGCCCGATTTAACGTTGGCAGTGTCCCCTGGGTTTTCGCAGGGTGCCCGCCTGCGGGCGCCCCGGGGGCGCTCGAGGGGAGGGCTCCCCGGAGTATGTCGCGCGGTGCTTGGCCGTGGTGAGCGCCTCGCGGCCACGCGCGGGGTGCCTCGTGCGCGTCTCGCGGTGCCTCCTCCTCCTCCTCCTCCTCCTCCTCCTCCTCCTCCTCCTCCTCCTCCTCCTCCCTCCCCCTCCCCCTCCCCCTCCCGCTTCCCCCCCCCGCCCCCTCCGTCCCCTCCTCCTCTTTCTCCCCCTCCTCCTCCTCTTCCCTCTCCTCCTACCACACGGCTTTGAGCTGGCACCAGGCAGGCTGGACCACGTGGCTTGCACCACACATCACGCCGGATGATTCGCGCCACATGGCTTGCTCCACTCGGTTTGCGCGGCACGGCTGACATAACATGGCTTGCACAGCAGAGCTTGCACCACACAGTGATCACCACATCTATGACACAACATAGTTTGCACCATCTACGGCAGGTTCGCGTCGTGTCGCTTGGCGTTGACCCCAACGCGGGCGTTCAAGGTTAAACGCCGCCAGTTGCCCAGAATCGGCCCATCCTCTTTAAACGCCAGAACAGCCTCCACTGTACACCGCACTCACTTCTATACCCCTGGGTGGGTGTATGCGCAGCCGGTTTTTCGCGGGCTTGTGCGTGCATGTGCGCATCATGTGCAAGGCATGTGCGCAGCATGTGCCTGAGACATCCCCGCATCTCTGTGTTGCGAGGTGCCCTGAGTCGTGTGCATCTCTGGAGCGCGGTCCAAATGCCTCTAGCCTCTAGCGTTAGATTGGTGCTGTCGCCTGCCGCATCCCTGATATATATATATATATATATATACATACATACATACATACATACATGCATACATACATACATACATACATACATACATGTATATGTGTGTGTGGTGTTGCTGCTCGGGCGCCAGGCACATCCGCGTCGTTCGGTCCGCTCGCTCCTTCCTCATTGGCCTCTCCTGTGGCACTGTTCTTTCTCATTTGTCCCTCCCTCCTTCTTCGAATCTTCGACTGTGCGGCATGTGCGGGCATGTGCGTTTGTGCTTTCAGAGCTTCCCAGACTCTGCATGGGACTGCATCGGAGTGTGTGCATGTGCGCGCAGCGCGCATGAGCGGCACTGCCGTTGCAGCTTTCATAAAGCCGCATGGGCATGTGCATGCGACTGAGCGGCTTGTGCCTGCATGTGTGGCCCTTTTCTGGACTTCAATATCAATGTGAGCACTATAGAAGTGAGCGCTGTAGAAATTTGTCCGGTGTATACTTAAAAGAAGAAACGAAACCACGCCGCCCTCCTTGCCACGACCAGGACTCACCTCGAGGTCCTTGTCAGCACGCACCCCCAGAATAGGTCCGTGAAGTACAGGTATCGGTACCTTTTGCCCCCCACCTCTACGACCCTAAGATTTGGCTTCCACTGTAGTTTCCCCAGCGTGCACCATTGAGGTGGCGATCGGCGCCGCGAGGCCCGAAGAGAGCGGCACACATCCCCACCCCAGGCGGGGTGGAGATCAGCCAGCAGGGCCAAGGTTTGCGCGGTGGGGGGTGGGGATAGCCCTTCTGGTCCAGAACTAGTCTTAAGTCGGGCATGTCCCCATACAGGAGGAGTATTCAAAAATAGTCACTTAAAAAGTCTGGGGACGATGTTTCGACTACGTTTGATTTTTTGAGTCGAACCGGACCCCTGCGGGTCCACTCGACGCTGGGGTATCGGACACCCCCAGCAGACGTCCCGGGGCTTCCATAAGCCGCCCCAGCCGTCTCTTCATCAATCTGACCTGCAGGGGCGGGGTTCACATGCGGTTGCTTAGTGAGGGAGCCCTCCCCGGTCCTCCGCAGGGCAGCCGGCTATGCTGGCACGACCTGCCGGAGGTGCTCTCGATCTCCCCTTTGTGTCCTGAGCGTCGCGTCCCGTGCCTTCTTACATACCTATGGCAGAGTGCCCCTCGGAAGGGTCTTGCGCCCTCTCGCCTGTCCTCTCACATCATCCCCGACCGTTCGTCGCCCCGAGTCCTGCCCTTCGAAGGAGAAAAAAAAACGCCACAAGCATAAACGCGCTCCGCGCGGATTTCCTGGATCCGCGCTGGGCCCGCCCGGGCGGCTCCTCTGGCGCCGCCGCCCCTGGCGCCCTCCGCGCGCCAGGGAGGGGTGATCCCGCGCAGATCCAGTACATCCGCGCGGAGCGCTAAACGTTTCTTCTTCTTCTTCTTCTTCTCCTAGTCCTGTGAGGAAGCCCCCGCGTTTCTTCCTCTAGTCCTGTGAGTAAGCCCCCGCCCCCCCCCCGCCCTCCACACCTCCTCCAGCTCCTCCGCCTCCTGCTCCAATCCCGGCGGCGCGCGCAGGAGGCGTGCGGGGCGTGGGGAGGGCGTGCGCGCGGCCATCTCTCTGCAGGCAGTGAATTGCCCCCTCGCGGAGCCCGACCCCTTCCCGAGCAGCAGCACCCCGCCCTCTCGCAGGGTCGCCCCTCCCATCGCACCGCCCCCGTGCTGAGCTTGCTCCCGCCCGCGCCGCCGTTCCCCCCGGGCTCAGGAGGGCCACCTGGACTGCGTCGAGGGGCTCCTGGAGGGGCGGGGGTGGCGGCAGTGCGCCCTTCGGCTCGCATGCGGCGCCCCGTCCCCATCACCATCCCCCCCATCCCCTTCCCTGGCCCTCCCATTGCCATCCCCACTTCCGCCTCCGCCCATCCGCCACGCTTCCCTCCTTCGCCTCCCCCGATCGCTTCCCCTCCTTCCCCTCTCTAGTCTCCCTTGATGCAACTACTCAACAATAGAACAATATGAATACTACTCTCCCTCCTCCCCTGACGGGTCTGCATCAGCGTAGCGCACACCCCTGGCAACGATGCCCTTTGGCATCTTTTCGCGGACCGCCGAGTTCCGAGTTCTTTCCTTTGTTAGGAGTGGAAAAGCATTCCAAATCGAACAAGATCTGGGGGATCATATAAGTAAAAAGCAATACGCGGTAGGAGGCAGCTACGACCTCGGGGTCGTCGGGGGAGAGAGGGGAGTAGTACCCTAAAGTGTGTACTTGTGGAGGGTCGAGGACGAGAGAGGAGGGGGGGGGCTGCAAGGGAAGTGGCGGGGATGAGCAGGGGGCGAAGGAGGACGGGGGGAGGCGGGGGGGGCGAGAGTTCTCGCAGCCGGTGGGCGTGGACACGAGGCGCGCAGGGGGAGGAGTTGGGCGCCGGGCTCGCGGCGGTGGCGCCTGGGCGCGTGGCGGAGGTGCGCGCCCGACCTCTGGCCGGCCACGGCCTGACGCAGTCCTGCTCAACGGCACCGTAACGGGTACTTACTAACGGGTACTTTGAATTGTTGCCGAAAGTTGCCACTTCAAGGCCTTTTTCTTGCATTGCAGTTTTGCCCGCATCGGGAAGGGTTGGGTTCGCTGGGTCACTGGCCAAAGTGCCAGTTAGTGGAGTCCCCGTTTGAGGGGCGCTGACCTGACGGTGTGGGCGGCCGCTGAGCGAGGCATTTTGCGCCGCGCGCTCGGCGCGCCGGCTGTGACACAGCACGCGCAAGGTCGCCACCGCTTTGCGGCTTGGCCTCCTTCTGTGACGGTGCCGGTGGTGGTCATCGCAGCAGGGAGACAAGTCCGGAGCAAAGCAACACGCACCACGACCACGACGACGCCGACGACAACGACGACGACGACGATGGAGACGAGGCGCGCAGACGAGTGCGCGCCTCGTCTGTAGCGGAGTGTCTTCAATCGCCCTGGTACGCTGTTGGCACCGGTTGCCAGTGCGCGAGCTTCGAGGCGCAGAATCGCAGCTCTCAGACGGGGGCATGCAGCATGCAGACCTTTTTTCGCCGATGTGCCGTCCAGGCGAGGCTGTTGTGTGATCGAGTGCAGCCACGGCATCGTCCCTCGTCGATCTCGTCGTCGTCGTCGTCGTCGTCGTCGTCGTCGTCGTCGTCGTCGTTCCTACGGCGCACCTCCTGGTGCTCGCGGCATCTCCGCCGTCTTCCTGTTCCGCTCTGGCCGCCCCCGACCTGCAGTCCCTCAGCTGCAGGCTTTGACTCAGAGGTGACGTCGACGAGGACAACACGCGCACAAGGCACGCCACGCCGACCAAAGCATCGAGACAGTAACGGTGCAGGCATCGCTACCAGAGGTGCTGGGCTCAAATGCCGCGCGTGTTCTTCCCTTTCCCGACCTCCCCATCCCCACCTCCATCCTCCCACCGCCGCCTCGGAAGCCAAACGGCACCCAACAGCCACACATCACGTCAGGACTTGGTTGAATGACGGCGCTCGGCGTCTTCTGTGGGGCGGCTGCGGCCTGCACGCGACTGAACATCGCCTGCGTCGGCCTCGTTGGGCGGCGCTGGGCAGCGGCCGGCGCAGAGCACGCGGCGCCGAGGCAGGGCCGCCGCATGTGCGGCACATTCGGGCAGGAGGGCTCGGAGCCTGCGGCGTGTCCCTTCGGCGGCGGCGTGCCAGCCGCCCCTGGGTCATCGCCGGTGGTGCCTCGCCCTATGTCGGGCGTGTCCCCCTACAGGGGGATGTTCGACGAAAAATAAAAGATACCCCAAAAAGGACAAAAGATTCTCAAAAAGTAGTTCCCAGACTGTTTTTGTCTTATTTTTCGATCATTTTGGGGGCATCTTTTATGTTTCGCCGAAAATCCCCTTGTAGGGGGACAGGCCCGACTTAGGCCTCGCCCTCGCCTCCTGGGGCGATGGCGCCGGCGGTGTCTGAGTGGGCCTCGGGCACCGCAGGGCCGTGGTGCTGCCGATGCCGTGGTTGCGTTGCCGTTGCCAATGCCGTCGCCGTCCTTGGTATGGTTTCGTTCTACTCCTCCTCCTCCTCCTCCTCCTCCTCCTCCTCCACCTCCTCCACCTCCTCCTCCACCTCCTCCTCCTCCTCCACCTCCTCCTCTTCCTCCCGATTCCAGCGCCATTTGTGCTCCGCTTGAGTGGGGAGCTTGTCCGTGTTCAGAGTCACGCCTTCGCCTCTCGCGTTCGCCTCTCCCTGGCTTCGACTTTGTCCGCCTGTTCCCCTCATCTGTTCCCCCCTCTCTTCTCCATTTCCCCCCCCCCTCTCCCCCCTCTCTCTCCCCCCTTCTCTTCTCCGTCTCCAGCTTTTACCATCGAAGCCCAGATTACTGGGCATCCGTGGTTGGCCACATCCGGCCTATCAATTCTGGGCTTAACTCGGCCCATACACCCGCGTGGTAGCGCCCTGAAGATTAGGCCGAGTACGATGCACCCAGATCTCGTTCCCTCGAGGGCCTCCGGAGAGTTGCCTCCTCGTCCTCGCCCTCGTCCTCGCCGTCCACGCGTGCTTGGCGCTCGCTTCAGAGGCCTCCGCGAGGAGCGCCCCAGACGAGCGAGATGAGGGCCCACGCCCTGCGACGGGAACGCTGCGCATGCCATCGTCCGCACTGCAATGTGGACGGTCAGCACGGCGTGATGGACGATGAGGCGAGTGCTCGCCGCCCTCCTCCCCGTGGCCACGGCGGCGGTGCCCGCCCGGGCGGAGGCGTCCGGGGCCGACCCCAACGTGGACTGCAGCTCGGAGTACTTCGAGGGCGCGGTCGAGTGGGGCGAGCAGCCCCCCTCTCCTTCCAAAGGGGGCTCCGGCCAGCCGCGGCGGGCGCTGGGCCCCCGGGTTCGGGAGGCCGCCTCCCCTTTCCCTGCTGCTAGACTTCGAAGTCGGGCGTGTGCCTCTATAGGAGGAATGTTCAAAGATTGTCCAAACATTCGGGGACGAGTTTTCCTTTCTTGTTCTATCATTTTTGAACACTGTTCTACTATCTCTAATTCGTCCTCCAAGCTCTGCCTGTAGGAGGTCATGTCCGACCTAATCCTAGACCCAGACCCCCAACGCATGGATCAACATCGAGACGCAGACTGTCCGTCGTGAGGAGTGCGTCGCACCAAGGTTTATATGGCACTGCTCTCATTTTCTCCGTTCCTCTTCCTCCTCATCCGTTCCTCCTCTTGCTCCTCCTCCTCCTCCTTCTCGTCCTCCTCCTTCTCCTCCTCCTCCTCCTTCTCCTCCTCCTCCTTCTCCTCCCCCTACTCCTCCTCCTCCTCCTCCTCCTCCTTCTCCTCCTCCTCCGCCTCCTTCTCCTCCTCCTCCTCCTCCTCCTCCTCCTCCTCCTCCTCCCCCCCCCTCCTCCCCTCCTCCTCCTCCTCCCTCCCCCCCCCCCTCCTCCTCCTCATCCTCCTCCTCCTCCCCCTCCTCCTCCTCCTCGAACACTGCAGGCAAGGCGGTCTGTCCGCCGCAGCCCGAGCCGCGCCGCCGCGCGCGGCGCGACGCACGGCCCCCTTCCTCGGAGAGCCTCGGGAGGGGGCCTCAAATTGCCTCTGGAACCCAAGGCCACCCGCAACCAGGAGAGAGAGAGACGCCTAAAGTGGCCTCGGAGAGAAGGAATGCGGGAGCCCCGAGAGCCCAAGGGTCCGAAGGCCAACGGGAAGGCGCGGGGACAGAGCGAAGGCGAGGGCCACCAGGGGCACGGGAGAAGGGCCGCCTGGACCAGGAGAGGGGGGGGAGGCCAGGCCAGATTAAGCGATCACTTGTGGATCGCCCAGGGCCCGTCTCCGTTCCAGCATCCGTCACCCAACCGACGGTCGCGTACCACATGTCGGCGCGTTGCGACTCTTTGGGTGACGGAGGCTGGTGGAGGGGCGTCGCTGAGACACCAGTCTCGGTAGTGTAAGCGGCTCCGTTCCCCCTGGTCGGGGGAAGGCGGAGAGCAAGGGGCAGGGCCCGAGGGGGAGCACCCGACAGTGAGAGGGGGGAGGGGCCTCAAGAGCCACAGGGATCCTCAAGGGAGAAGGACGGGACCCCCAACGGGCACGCTGAACTAGAAGTCTTCTGAGGCCTCCAGAAAGCGGCGGGCCGCCCGGGCCTGTAGTCACTGGTAGGTGTTCATCTCATCCCCCTCGCTCCGCGAGGGGGCCTTCGTGATGATGTAGGGCCCGTACAATTGATGGTTCGGGGCGATCGCGTGGTGGTCGCCGCCGCCGTCGATCATGTGCCCCTGTTACGGGCTGTGAGGATGTCTCCTGGCCATGTGGAGTCGGTGGTCCAGGTCCAGGTCGCGGCTCGAGGAGTCCAGCTTGACGAAGTTGCTCAACGCCTTCGTGATGCTGGCGTGGCTGGTGCTGCGCTGTCTCCAGGAGTGATGCCCCACCACCGACTTCCGTCCCAGTAGCCTCAATGACCCCCGTCGGTCGGTACCCTCTGCCTCCCAAGCGCCCCATGGGCTGGGGAGGTGGACTATGCCGACCTCCCAAGCGCCCCGTGGGCTGGGGAGGTGAGCAGTGCGTGCCGACGGGTGTTGAAGAACATGCAATACTTCCTGTTGGTGCCGCTGGAGGTAATGCTGAAGTCGAAGATGCCAGCCTGGGAGGTGCGGTCTCTGGTGGAGGCCTCTTGGGAGGGTATCCTGCAAACTGTGTATGTGCCATAATAGACGACAGCTCCTTCTGGATCTCCTCCGCCGACAGTTGGCCACCGTACTGTCCAGGTCGCGGCTCGAGGAGCACCGCGCCTGGACGTTCTGACATCCAGCAATCGTTGCCATCATATCCATTATAGTGCCACGTCTGTGCCTTTGTGTATGCGTCGGCGGTGGGCTGGAGTGTTTGCTCTATGGCCTGCGTCAGTGTCGTTGTCGTAGTGATGTCTGCAGGACAGTTGCAAGCAGTGAATGCTGTGGTCGGGGTTGTGCTGCACGTCGTTGTGATGTATGCATATTCCTGTATCTGCAGGTGTCGGAGGCTGCTGTCCAGGATGATGGTAGGTGTGCGCATCGTCATCATCCGCTGTGCGGTCCGTAGGACGTGCCGCATGCTGTCGTTGTCTTGTCGTACCGCTTTGTGCTGCGTGGGTGTGAGGTCCAGTCGTCCCCAAGGTGCCTCTTGCGTCCTGAGGTTGAGGTCGCGGTTGAAGGTCGTAAGGTCGGCGTCGATGATGCAGAAGGCAGCGTGGTCGTATGGTGTCGTGGCCATGTCGGAAGCCGTTGGGTCGGTTTGGGGTGGGTGCATGGTTGGCAGGTGGTGGAGTTCGATGGAGATGCTGTGTCTGTCTGCGGTGGCTTGGAGGGCGTCGGTCACCGCGCTGGTGTGGTCGTGGTTGGTGGTGAAGAGCAGTACAATGCTGGGCTTTCCTGTGATGTCAGTCATTCCCGTGTCTGCTCGGTTGGGTCCGCTGTCTTGTGTGGTGGGTGCGTCGGTGGGTAATTGGGCTGGTATTGGTCGGTGGTCGTGGTCGGCGTGGGTTGGTGGTCCCAGTGATGGCCCCTGTAGCTGGATGGGTGGCCGCTCGGCGTAGTCTTCTGGAAGCCCAGCGTGTCGGTTGGATCGTCGTACGCGTCGGGTCTCCTCCTTGTGCGCGTCGATGTCTTCTGTTGGCGGCTTCGCTCCGAACTGCATCAGTGTGGCTGCACACTGGCGTGACGATTTGACGTGTTTGGTAAGTCTGTTCGCGGTGTAGAAGTACTTCAAGCATACCTGGCAGGTGTCACCGACGATGTAGTTGTCTATGGTGTGCTTGTCCTGGTGGACGGCGTAGACATGCTTGTTGTGTGCTGCTTTGGTCTTGAATGTAGCACCGCAATGGTAACACATAACTCTGGCTGGTGCTGGTGTCGTGGTTCCTGCTTGTCGGGGTAGTGGCAGCACTCCCAGTGCTGTTGCCGTTAGCGATAGGTCTGCGCGCAGCTGGTCCTGCGCTGCTCGGTCGGAGGATGAGTCTTGTGCACGCTTGTAGGTGCTCGTAATAAAAGACTTGACCGTTTGCATGTCGTTGCGTGCAGCCTTGATGAAGTCGATGATGTCCTTGGGTGCGGTGGTGATGCGGGTGCCGTCGCAGTGCTGTCGGCATGTGTGGATGTCGTTGTTGATGGTTTGCGTCCAGGTGCCGTTGACTTCGATGTCGTAGTCAATGAGTGCCTGCGTTTCGTACGGGCATCCTTTTATGAGTCGCAGAAGTTCTCGCAGTCGTAGCCATCGTAGTCGGTCTTCGAGGTTCGGTAGTTGGGCACGTGCCAATATCTGCTCGTTGGTGATGTGTTTGTCCTTCATGGCCTTGTGTGTAATTCCTATTGCCTGTCGTGCCGCAGTGACGTAGGCTGTGTTGATCCTGTGGTAGTCCCGCGCTGTTGTGATGATCCATGTCCCCGCGTTAAATAGCAGTCTTGAATAGCCGAAGGACTCGAGGTAGTGGATCTTAGTCTGGATGGAGATGGCTTGTCGTTGGAACAAGGTGCGTCGGAGTGGGCCTGTTGTCTCGCGTAGCGCGATGGTGCGTGCTGCCGTCTCCTGGCCCATGTCGTTCCTGTCGTTGAACATCGCGCCCAGCAGCTTGGTGCTTCTAGCGATGGTGACGCAGAGCCCCATGTCGGTGATGCTGTGATTGTCCCGTATCATGGTCCGTGTAGCTCTTTTGCCTGCGACGGTGTTGGGGTAGACGATGAAGCTGGACTTCTTGGTGTTGATCGGGAGGCCTCTTCGCAGTGTCGCGCGTATGAGGTGTCCCCACATCTTGGAGATGAGTGCGTGTATCATGGTGCCGTCTGCCGTGGATGCAGCCGCCTTGACGTCGTCTACGAAGGATGTAGAGGACAGTGTGGCGTTGTGGTCGCAAGCTCGGAGACGTGGTGGGGCATGCGGTATGTCGAAAGTCGCTCCATCCTCGACGGCGTGGTCGTGGTAGTCTCGCGTGACGTCCGCCATGAGCATGTTGAATGTGAAGTCGGCTGTTGGTACGCCAGGGCGTGTACCAAGTCGTGGTGCTGCGTAGCTGCACTGGTCGTCGATGTAGAACCAAGTCCCAGTGTGTGCCTCCGTGAGCATGTCGACAATGTGTTGGTTGTCCACGTGTTGGTTGACGATGCCGTTGTCGGTCATGAGGGCCTCAATCGCGGGAAGCATGACATGGGGAATGTCGATGTGGGCGAGAAGGTCGTCCAGCTGCTCCTTGGTCTGGGTGAAGTTGTACACGAGCTGGTTGACTACCTTGTGGAAGGCTGCTTTCAAGTCTATCATGATGATGACCATGTCGTGCTTCGCGTGGTAGGCAGTATTGGATAGGAGCCGCATCGTCATGTGGTTGATGTCCGTGCTGTAGTGGTGTCGGCCTCCCGTCTGAGTGGAGAAGAGCATCGTGGGGATTAGGTCCTTCATGCATTGTCTGATGTATCTGTAGTGGTGCTTGATGACGGTGTTGGCCAACGTGATTGACCGCTGGTTGTTCAGGTCCTCCTCGCTGCCCTTGCCCTTCCAGAAGTACGTCATCCTGGACCCCTTTAGAGCTACGCCCTCCCTGCAGAAGAGCGCTGCTTTGGTGATGATCGGATGCATGTGTCGGGCCATCTGCCGTGGGGCGATCTTGGAGAAGTCGTCGGATACCCGATCTGGTCCTGGTGCGCGGTGAGGTCTCGCTTTGTGGAGGATGTCTGTGAGCTCGTAGATGCTGGCGAAGTTGTTGACGTGGCGCGTTCTCCTGGGCTGAGCTGGTTCGGTCCTGTCCTCTTTGGCGTTGTATCTGTCAACCACGTCCTGAGCGGAGATGATGTCGGCTGCTTCGTTGTGT